AAGAAATAAAAATATCAAAATGGATAGCAGAGGTGGGGCTAAGATATGTAAAAAAAATCCAAGATAACTCTCAGAGACCTATAAGTAGTACATAGACATCAAAGATGTATGAGACTTGAAAATTGTATGACCCTTTCCTTAAATCAAGCCAAAGCAAGTTGAAATTACTTTAAGATGCATGTAATTCTAAGGGACAACGGCAGCGGCAAGAGGAAAATTAATATTGCGACGAATCAATGTAAACTAGCCAAAAATGTAAGATAAAGTCGAAAAAGTCCAATAAAAGCTTATGGAAATAAAAATGGAAATGAGTTAAATTAAAAGAGACCAAACAAGAATAAAAGAGGAAGGGATAATAAATTACAGCATTCTTTGATTGAAAAAAGAAGGACACTGGTGAATTGTCAACGATGCAAATTTGATCGATATTTCGCCCAAGGCGGCTCAGATCCTTGATGAAATTGTTTTGATGGTATACACATGCATCGCGAAAAAGGCGATGTCGAAGCTGTCCATATGGATCAATCTGGTCACACACAGGGTCTGCGTACTTGATATAGATAAAAAAGGAAGTGCAATATTTTTTTAAAATTTGGAAAACCGTATAATATATATAATCACGGATAAAAAAAGTACAAACCTAGAGATAACAAGAGAGATTATTAATGCAGTATAACATAAAATTAAGACTTATTTAATAGTTGTTTTTTTATTGTCTGAATGTGTTTTGAAATACTTACAACCTAATCACATTTACAGAAATAATGAGAACTATTTTATTTATCGTAGCTATGAAGACCAAGATGGTGTGGCCTTTTGTGTGGTCACAGTCTCCTTTCGTTGTATAAAAGTTGTTTGACCTTGTTCTCTCAACTCGGTCATATTAGTAGGAAGACTTAGAGGAACGCACCTAGTCAGGAGTCCATTGTATGCATCATCATTTCCAGATTAAGACCGTGGATGTGGTACATTACCAGACGTTTCGCAGGCATCGTAGTCGGCATCGTCAGTGAGTTTTACCATTCGTAGCACAACTCTTCAAAGAGACAAGTGCAGCCCATCCTTTGACTAAACGTGTGCTAAACAGTTATGGTATTATCCATTCTGCCCTGGCCTATCCACATTTTCTATATCCTATTCCTATTTCCTATAATTAAGCAAGTAAAATATAGTGAAGGCGTGATTGAAGGATATAGGAAATG